TTCTGCAATAAGTTCTGCTTGTAAGGTATCTTTGGTAGTGACCTTCTTTTGTGTCTCGAGGTCGAATATGTCGTCCAACAGAATTTCCAAATCTACTTTCCGGGCCATTTCACTCGGTCTGGACATAACATGACAGTTTATGCCCAGATTTAGGAGAGTGACTTGGTCCTCAGTGAGGTTAATTCCTGCAAGGTTCAGGAAGCCGTCTCTTGGTCGTGGAATTGCCATAGGTCCTCCATATAATGTTGTTAGTTTCTTGATAATCCTTGTTTCAATGCTGAGGTGATGTTGGTCTGTGAGGATGTCGAGGTGTTGTTCAATGCGGGTACGGATACTATGGTCGATGTTGCTATTTCTCCACTCGTTTGTAGCATGAAGTAGTTGCGTTTTGTTGTCTTTGATTTCATTCTCTGCCTTGTATATCTGATCACGAATCAGATCCTGGCGATATTTTATCGTGAAGGCTTGATTCCTTGCTGCTGGGTCGTGCACTTTAACATTAGTATATTTTGGTAGCAGTCTTTCCTGTAGACATATATTATTAAATATGACCGAAAAAGTAAGATTAATAATTCTAACACGAATTTTCTCAATCTTTCGTACATTACGCTTCACTGTTGGAGGTAAATCAAAAATCACTTCTCCAAAATTCATTTTTATTTCTAGTCTGACGCGACACGGGCGCGTTTCGTAAAACTTATTACATTTTCAAAGACTTCACAAATACACAACTGATTAGAACTTGCGTTTCCCTGATTTTATATTTACATTTGAGTGAGGTGGGAAGGGTGATGTGGCATTACATTTGAGTGAGGTGGGAAGGGTGATGTGGCATTAACACAAGACAGAACACTAGGGGATATTAATAGGGTATTAAAAGTATCAACACAAGACAGAACAGAAACAATGGGTATTGAATAGAAGTGTTTGTAGAAAGCCTATTGGTCCATATTTCTTGATGCTTCTATATTGGAGCGGAGTCTTGAGGTGGGTAGAATATAGTTGTGCAATAATTGGCTGTTGATTGCTGGTGTTGACTTCTTGATGTGTAGTGCCTCGCAAACGTCAAGCCGCCTGCTATCGCTGTATCTATCGATGATTTCTGTGTTGTTTACTAGGATTTCTCTGGCGATGGTTTGGTTATGGGAAGAGATTATATGTTCCTTAATGGAGCCCTGTTGTTTATGCATCGTTAAACGCCTAGAAAGAGATGTTGTTGTCTTGCCTATATACTGGGTTTTTTGGAGCTTACAGTCCCCAAGTGGGCATTTGAAGGCATAGACGACGTTAGTCTCTTTTAAAGCGTTCTGTTTTGTGTCTGGAGAGTTTCTCATGAGTAGGCTGGCCGTTTTTCTGGTTTTATAGTAAATCGTCAGTTGTATCCTCTGATTTTTGTCTGTAGGGATAACGTTTCTATTAACAATATCTTTCAGGACCCTTTCCTCTGTTTTATGAGCTGTGGAAAAGAAGTTCCTGTAAAATAGTCTAATAGGGGGTATAGGTGTTGTGTTAGTTGTCTCTTCGGAGGTTGCATGGCTTTTCACTTTCCTTCTTATGATGTCTTCGATGAAACCATTGGAGAAGCCGTTATTGACTAGGACCTGCCTTACCCTACAGAGTTCTTCGTCGACTTGCTTCCATTCTGAGCTGTGGCTGAGAGCACGGTCGACGTATGCGTTAACAACACTCCTCTTGTACCTGTCAGGGCAGTCGCTGTTGGCATTTAGGCACATTCCTATGCTTGTTTCCTTTGTGTAGACTGCAGTGTGGAAACCTCCGCCCTTTTCCATGACTGTTACATCTAGAAAAGGCAGCTTCCCATCCTTTTCCGTCTCGTAAGTGATATATATATATATATATATATATATATATATATATATATATATATATATATGGACACTGAATGAGTATTTTGATTAGGTATAGATGGATATGTTACAGTGAGGTGCATGTTTTTGAGCGTTAATAAGACGTACACAGTTATAGCTGTGAGAGAGGAATTAATGAAAATGTCTGAGTGATGTTATAGCTTGTTCCTTGAACAATTATATGATAACACATACTTGCATGTCGTTGAAGACTCTAACAGGAACTTCAGTAGTGTTCCTATTTAGGATGATAAGGTAAATCCTTAAATTAGAAACCTCTCTTATAAAGGAAGGTTGACAAAGCTTAAATTCCTTTCTCTAGAAAGGCGAAGAGTTAGGGGGTGACATGATAGAGATGTGCAAGTGGATGAATGGACATAACAAAGGGGATATTAATAGGGTACTAAAAGTATCAACACGAGACAGAACACGAAATAATGGGTATAAATTGGTTAAGTTTAAATTTAGGAAAATACTCGGGAAGATACTGGTTTGGTAACATGGTTGAACACAAACGCAAGTGTTAGTTCGTGCTGTGTTGCTCTCTTGTTTCATACGAATGGGAGATAGTGGATTTCATCAATTACTATGCCCAATAAACGATCCTTGGTTTTATACTATAAATATAAAGCTTCTAGATAAGTACGGGTAACAAATAGGTCCTTTTAAATATTAATGGAGTGACCTTATTGAAGTGTATAAATAAAGATGGAAGAAGTATTAATTTATTGGAAATAATTCTACTGCAGTTCATCTAATAGCGGCAGTTGATGTTTTGGTTAACATAGATTGGAAGTAAATAGAAAATCCTGCAAAAAGGTCTTCTGCAATTTCATTTCTTATGTTCAAAATGCAATCTTAGCTAGAAAATTATCTTCGAAAAATTGGAAACAGTATGAAAATACGTCATTAAGGAAAACGGGCTTAATGATGGAAGATGAATGCACCTGAACTGTCCGCTGGGGTAACAGAAAACACCCCAGACGGAAGCTGGCCACTTAATCCCCCTTGATTAAGGGATTTTCAGGGACTGCAAGACTAGCAATCACTCGCCGGGATAACGGAAAACAGCACACATCGAAGCCGGTCTTTTAATCCCTTTGATCGAAATTTAAAGGGATTAGAACGCTAGCAATCACTCGCCGAGCTAATGGAAAACGGACCCGGACAGGTGAGGGGGCCCTTCTAATCCACTAGAGCAAAAGGGCAGGACCTAGGAGGGCGCATTTTAATTCACATTTTGGAACATTATATATGATAGGAGGGAGCGCTCGAAAAATGAAAATACCACTTATGCCTATGCCCAGCCGTCGGGAAAAAAGCGGAAAACACTCTTACAACTATGCCCGGCTATGTGAATACCTTGAAAGCACCCCCTACGCTTATGTCCGTCCATTGAAAAAACAAAATTGACAGGCATTGTCGCACTTTTCACTACTACTATTGTTAACATATTTCACCTTGTGGTTGAGGCTTTGGAGAGTTTATATAAGGTCATTTTAATTTGCCTTCTCAAGTTTACTAAACTAAGGCTTTCAAAGGTGGTGAAAATAGCCAAAATGTTTAGCTTTGCATGCATTCGTCAAATAAGTCTATCTTCAATTCTGTACCTGATTTCGCACAAATAATGTTCCAATGACCTAACTATCCTAATTTTCCAAGATGTTTTGATGATGCATTAATCACGTATGGATTGGAATTTATTACATTGGTGTTTATTGTAAAATTATTATGTAGATTTATGTAACACCAAAATTAAATTTTCAATATATTTTTCTTGGCAGTCCCTCTAGTTGCTCCCATGCGCTATGAACTGGCGACTACTGGTCAGACCAGCTAGTGCCAGATACCCGTGGGACAATAACTGCCTACTGACGACAAGAACAGCTTAATTTTCCAAAAAATGTTCTTTCTATGAGGCCGGGAGCACACTGGGATAAGAGATTAATGCAATTCTGATTCAAAATGTCATAGCGTAATGAAATATAGGCACAAGATACCCAAACTCCCTCCATTCACAATGAATGATTCTCATTACTATTTTCGACCAAATCATATATGTTGGAAGTAGTTCTTCTGGTGCTGTCGGAAACGTATGTATTCCACCAATTACTTTGGCTGCTACCTGTGTCACTGCCCGGGAGGTATGTACTTCAGTTGGCTGTTTTCAGCCTGATATAACCTAAGTAGCTCACCATCCCAGACCTGTCTCTCTCCTTTCTTCACTCAGGAAATACACTGCCCCTGGGCTAGAGCGTGTGGGGGCCCTTTGCTGGGGCTGTAGTGAGTTTGTTACTGGCATTGGTTCACATTCAAAAGATACCGGGTTTCATTCCCAGACAGAGCCATTTCATTCCCAGGCAGGGCAATTTGGCAAATAGTTACTTTTCACCAAGCAGTAAGGAGGTATCTAGGAGTTTGGCAACTGTTGTGGGTTGCATCCTGGAAAAGTTCAACAGTCGGCTTAACGATAATTTCGTTAAGCCTAAACAGGCTTTCTTTCCCCTAACTATCTTGAGATTATTTCTGGGCTTTGCGTCCCCGCTGCCCGGTCCTCGACCAGGCCTCCTTTTTGTTACACCCCCTTCCCCAGCCCGTAGCAGCTGTCTAACTCCCAGGTACATATTTAATGCTAGTTAACAGGAGCATTATGGTGAAAGAAACTCTGCTTATTTGTTTTCGCCTCCCCCTGGGATCTAACCCGGAACCTCAGGACCACGAATCCCAGGCGATGTCCATTCAGCTGTCAGGCCCTTAAGACTATAGGTATATATAGTCTATATACTATAGTCTATAGACTGTCAGACTATAGGAAACCCGAAAATTATAACCAGGTAGCAAATTGGAGGATTATCTGGGATCACATGTTTAGTACTTTTCAAAGTTTTGTTTTGTCATTTAAATATTTAAAATAAACAATTCCTAAGGCGATTGCGTTGTTGGTTTTTGGGAATTAACACTTCATTGCACTATGGAAATTTATCTCAGATTTGGGTTGATATCGGATTCCCGTGTGCTATCGCCTCGTAGAGGAGACAAAGTTTGACCGTCAATGGTCAGTGTAAACTTTTGAGGCTAAGTACAGAAGGGGCATTTTATTACAGTCAATGATCTCTTTTAATCTCTTTCCAGGAGTAATTCTTCAGTTTTCATTTTTGGCAGTGTTTTTCTGGCTGAATGTAATGTGCTTTGACATCTGGCGAGTAATAAGGTAAGCAAACAAAAGCTGGAACAATTGAGCTGAATTATAATTCGTGCATCTCTGAAAGTTAAAATTAACAATAATAATAATAATAATAATAATAATAATAATAATAATAATAATAATAATAATAATAATAATAATAACAATAATGGATAAGCTCCCACACTTTTGTATTTGAGAAATTTAAGTAAGGAATTTACATTAGACGTTACATTTACATTCATTAGACGTTGAGATGTAAGTCTCGTCCTAATCACACCACAGTAGCTTACTTGTTGACAGAAGAATAAAGAACTCCACCAGAGGCAGCCGGCTGTCTGAAATAGGATCAATGTCACAAGAATGTCAACATGGGAGCTCACCCCCAGAAAATTACAAGGATATATGTTTACGAACACGGGAACCCATAACAGCCAGCTTTCAGGCTCATACTTAAACAAGAACTAAAAAATATAAAAAAGAATCGATCATACCTGGCAACTGCTATTAATGTTTTATAGGCTTAAGATTACATGTATTATTTTATGACTTTTTTATTTCAAATTGAGCTGTTTTAGCTAAACGGTTTTGTTGGAATAAGTAATTTGTCAATTTTATTGATTATTTACCCGATAATATATATTTCAGAGGCACTGTTCACTGCATACCAATAACTGGTATCTTGGCCAATGACGCTAAAAAATTTCGGGTGTACTCTACCTATGCGTGGGGTGGCCCTGTGATCGTGACGGTCGTGGGGATAATAGTGGAGAATCTTCCAGATCATCCTACTTTCAACAGCCTGATTCGGCCAGGATTTGGAAAGGTGTCATGCTGGTACCAAGGTAAATTTTAATGTAATTATACGTCATTCCTATTATTGTAAAATAATTTATAATTTGGTTTTCAATAGCTACAACATCCTAAATTAAATGCTAAAGAGTTGGTTAATGTGGGTTGCAGTAAAATCTCTTTTCTACCTTGATATACATAGATTGTAATTCATAGGCAAGTTATTAGCCCTTCGAAGTGCCTTGGGTGTTTGCATACATTAAATCGGTCCTTCTCCCTGGAATAGACATTGGAGGTATCAGCCCGGAGAATATAGTGAAGCAGTAAAATAATATTCATATCAAAACATGGTGCCCGTCCATACATGTTATCTAGTCCATTATACAGTTTCACTTCATAAGGCTGCGAGGTGGTACACTGATCCATTTACGTTACCGTATAATCTTCCTTTCCACGACATCTCATATGCAGTTTTCTCCTACCTCCTGCTTCCTCACACATTCTCCCACCATATATGCCCATCTCTTTGACCTTACTCTGCTTCTAACTTCAAAGTAACTCTAACATGCTTTCTTCACCACTTTAATATTGTACATTCAGTTAACATGACCAGGATAAATTTGCCATATACCGGGGCCCTTTAAAAGGGCAATATCATTCACGATTGATTGAGATTAAGCCACCTAAAAGGTGGTACGGGTATGAATTGCCCGTAATTGGAGGCTGTTGGGAGTCATTACCCGTACCAGTAGCTGACACTATATATCTGTGGATGATCAAATACATGGTTGCTCGCAGTTCATGTCCTGCAAAAGGCTTGTCTGTTCTGGCAGGCGACTTATGGATTAATGTATAGCGTTGCTTCTGCTATCCACAGCTTAATTCGTAGTTCCTTCTTCATCGTGTCATCGACCGGGTTGTTGTCGTGGTGGTCATGGAATTCTGGCTGTCCGTCGGGGTAGGTCTTGTAGTAATCGGGGTCGTAGTATTCTTGCGTTTTTTTTTTAGTATTATTATTTTCTACCACAGCGTGGCCACACATTTACAATGCTAACCAGGATATATACATTTTCTTCTGTCCTCCATGAGCTGGGTGAGAGATCTGATGAACATATAGTTCACGGATTTATCGAACAATCAACCGCAGAAGGTGACTGTAGTGCTTTTAAAAATATAATCTAACCTAAAAGCATAAATACAACACACACACACACACATATACATACACACACACACACACACACACACACACACACACACACACACACACACACACACACACACACTATAGAGTGTATTACACTTAATTATACAATTTGCACAACACACACACACTTACACACACTGGGTCAGGTGATAATACAATATAGGTGAAAACACATAAGAGATAAATGTGGGGTGAAACATAGAGGTAACAGAAGGCTTATTGGCCCATACGAGGCAGCTCCTATCTAAAATACAAAGATTAATTCAGTGTAATTGGCAATGAATATCCACGCCAATTATTCAATGAAACATGTTTGAAAGAAAACCTATATATATATATATATATATATATATATATATATATATATATATATATATATATATATATATATATATATATATATATATATATATATATATATATATATATATATATAGTATATTTTGGTAGCAGTCTTTCCCGTAGACATATATTATTAAATATGACCGAAAAAGTAAAAATTAATAATTCTAACACGAATTTTCTCAATCTTTCGTACATTTCTTTTCACTGTTCGAGGTAATTCAAAAATCAATTTTCCAAAATTCATTTTTATTTCTAGTCTGACGCGACACTTGAGCGCGTTTTGTAAAACTTATTACATTTTCAAAGACTTTACACATACACAACTGAATAGAACTTACATATCTCCGATTTGTTTACATCTACATTTGAGTGAGGTGGATGGGGTGAGGTGGTATTTAATAGGGTATTAATTTCATCAACACAAGACAGAACACGAAACAATGGGTATTGAAATGGAAGTGATTGTAGAAAGCCTATTGGTCCATATTTCTTGATGCTTCTATATTGGAGCGGAGTCTTGAGGTGGGTAGAATATAGTTGTCCATTAATTGGCTGTTGATTGCTGGTGTTGACTTCTTAATGTGCCCTGTTACTGAACCTATTGTAGATGTTATTCTACACATCAAGAAGTCAATATATATATATATCAAGAAGAAGTCAATATATATATATATATATATATATATATATATATATATATATATATATATATATATATATATATATATATATATATATATAGATATATATATATATATATATATATATATATATATATATATATATATATATATATATATATATATATATATATATATATATATATATATATATATATATATATATATATGTCGTACCTAGTAGCCAGAACTCACTTCTCAGCCTACTATGCATGGTCCGATTTGCCTAATAAGCCTAGTTTTCATGAATTAATGTTTTTTCGACAACCTAACCTAACCTAACGTTTTCGGCTACCTAACCTAACCTAACCTATAAAGATAGGTTAGATTAGGTTAGGTAGGGTTGGTTAGGTTCGGTCATATATCTACGTTAATTTTAACTCCAATAAAAAAAATTGACCTCATACATAATGAAGTGGGTAGCTTTATCATTTCATAAGAAAAAAATTAGAGAAAATATATTAATTCAGTAAAACTTGGCTTATTAGGCAAATCGGGCCTCGCATAGTAGGCTGAGAAGTGAGTTCTGGCTACTAGGTACGACATATATATATATATATATATATATATATATATATATATATATATATATATATATATATATATATATATATATATATATATATATATATATATATATATATATATATATATATATATATATGTCGTACCTAGTAGCCAGAACGCACTTCTCAGCCTACTATGCAAGGCCCGATTTGCCTAATAAGCCAAGTTTTCATGAATTAATTGTTTTTCGACTACCTAACCTACCTAACCTAACCTAACCTAACCTTTTCGGCTACCTAACCTAACCTAACCTATAAAGATAGGTTAGGTTAGGTTAGGTAGGGTTGGTTAGGTTCGGTCATATATCTATGTTAATTTTAACTCCAATAAAAAAAAATTGACCTCATATATAATGAAATGGGTAGCTTTATCATTTCATAAGAAAAAAATTAGAGAAAATATATTAGTTCATGAAAACTTGGCTTATTAGGCAAATCGGGCCTTGCATAGTAGGCTGAGAAGTGCGTTCTGGCTATTAGGTACGACATATATATATATATATATATATATATATATATATATATATATATATATATATATATATATATATATATATATATATATATATATATATATATATATATATATATATATATATATATATATATATATATATATATATATGTCGTACCTAGTAGCCAGAACGCACTTCTCAGCCTACTATGCAAGGCCTGATTTGCCTAATAAGTCAAGTTTTCATGAATTAATTGTTTTTCGACAACCTAACCTACCTAACCTAACCTAACCTAACTTTTTCGGCTACCTAACCTAACCTAACCTATAAAGATAGCTTAGGTTAGGTTAGGTAGGGTTGGTTAGGTTCGGTCATATATCTACGTTAATTTTAACTCCAATAAAAAAATTGACCTCATACATAATGAAATTGGTAGCTTTATCATTTCATAAGAAAAAAGTTAGAGAAAATATATTAATTCAGGAAAACCTGGCTTATTAGGCAAATCGGGCCTTGCATAGTAGGCAGAGAAGTGCGTTCTGGCTATTAGGTACGACATATATATATATATATATATATATATATATATATATATATATATATATATATATATGTCGTACCTAGTAGCCAGAACGCACTTCTCAGCCTATAATGCAAGGCCTGATTTGCCTAATAAGCCAAGTTTTCCTGAATTAATATATTTTCTCTAATTTTTTTCTTATGAAATGATAAAGCTACCCATTTCATTATGTATGAGGTAAATTTTTTTTAATTGGAGTTAAAACTAACGTAGATATATGACCGAACCTAACCAACCCTAACTAACCTAACCTAACCTATCTTTATAGGTTAGGTTAGGTTAGGTAGCCGAAAAAGCAAGGTTAGGTTAGGTTAGGTAGGTTCATAGCGGTTCATAGGTATGCTCCGTGCGGTTCATAGGCATTTCCCTTCCCTCTACCCTTTTGTACATTCATGCTACAGTATGGATTTTAAGCTACTTTTTGGCGAACATGAAATTGACTCGCGGGAAGGCGTCCAACAGGGTGACCCCCTTGCTCCTCTCCTTTTCTGCTCAGTCATCAAACAAGTCACAGAGGTCCTGTCCAGCGAGCTTAACATCTGGTTCTTGGATGATGGTACCCTAGCTGGTTCCCAAGACTCCCTCCTGAAGGACATCAGAAAAATCCAGGAGCAAGATGCAGTTTTAGGCCTCACCCTGAACCCTTCTAAATGGGAAATAATATGTTCCAACCAGGGCATCGTAGAGAGAATAGAGGGTCTTCTGCCAAATATCCATAAAACTAAACCTGAAGACAGCACACTCCTAGGAGCTCCCCTGGGGTTGAAAGCCATCGATGAGGTCCTTGATAAGAAAATCGCCGACCTTAAGAGGATGGATGGGAGGATTGAGGATATTGATGCTCATTATGCACTCTACCTCATCACCAGATATCTGTCCCTCCCCAGGTTAACCTACTTTCTGAGGTGTTCACCATCTTACAGTAGCCAAAAATTAGGTGAGTATGACCGGTTACTGAAATCAATGCTAGAAAAATCCCTTAACCTCTCTCTTGATGACCTACAGTGGAAACAAGCCTCTCTTCTCGTAAGACTTGGGGGCCTCGGAGTTCGAACAGCAACGCAAATCGCTGTTCCAGCCTTCCTGTCCTTCTTATCAGCATCCGACGACCTTGTGAAGGAAATTCTACCTGCCCACATACATCAGCTGGCAGGTGAACATGATCCCAATTTTACACGCTGTGCCACAGAGTGGGCCTCTCGTGCAGGCCCATCACCTCA